TGGGGTGGGAAGCTCAATGGAGCCGGGCTGGGAGGGGAGCACCGGGGACCATGGTGCCTGCACACCGGGAGGAAACCAAGTAGCATCACGTGCACAGAACAAGCCCTCCCCTGCACTCCTTCTGCTAACTGAGCCTCGCATCACCCCTGTAGGGTGGACAGGTCTCATTATACCCATTTTGCAGGTGGGGAAACTGAGGCAGAGAGGGCGTAACCTAAAGCCCATTGAAGTCAGTGGAATGTCTCACACTGGCCCAGTCGGTGCTGGGATCAGGTCCAGAGAAAGGAAGCGAGGGGATCGGTACCCAAGTCCCATCTCAGCCCTTTTCCTAGGAGTTTCTCTCCTTGCTTTGCAGCAGAACTGATGCCAGCACATTTCACTCATGCTGTGGAACCTGCCTGCACACGGCACGGCCACAGCTTCACGAGCCCAGCCAAAGGGCCCTGCAGCACAGCTACCCAGTGCAAGAGGCAGGCAGAGGGGGCTTGTTAAGGCTCAGATTCAGTACAGCTGGGTTCAGTTCTCCCCGTCACTGACTCCAGTGGTGAGAATCGTCCCTACTTCACCAGGGTGCTCTGAGGATTAGTGCACTGAGGTTCGTGTGTTCTGTGGTGCTGGGGAGCCAGACGGACCCATGCTGATGCTGTGTAATAATAATGCCTAGTGCTGTCATGAGTAGATCTCAAAGCACTTTACAGAGCAGCTCAGTAGCGTTATCCTCATTTTACAGATGTAGAGAAACCAACAATGTCTTGGGCTTTTTAAAGTGTCTCTTTGCCAAGTTAACATATTACAACTTCCACATTAAGTCACAATGTAACACACCGAAGAGAGGGTGAGGACTCACCTGGTCCGTGGTTCCAGTGTCTGAGGTTTTCAGCTGCAGATTTCAGTATCAGAAACTTCTTCACACAGAGAGACAGAGCAATTCCTCTGATGCACCAACCTCTCTGCCTTAAATAAGGCACCAATAGCGAAAGTGACCTTTTAAAAGCAAACACAACCAACAAACACCAGCATTATCCGTACACATGGGGGCTGGGGAGAAGGTGTCAAGTGAACACCTAGACCAGGTAAATCTAGTTCATCTTTCATCTTCATGCCCCAATGCTACGCCTGCCAGTCCAGCCAGAGAACTCCATGTTTACATACGAGCACTTGGCAGGCCTGGCTTATCAACTGATCACTGATTCCTTGCATGCTGCCGCTGAATGTTGGTTCAGGCGGTGGAGATGAATTGTCCCAATGAAGCCACAAAGGATGTCGGAGCTCTGTAGATCTTTCACTGCTAAGAAGCAGATTAAAGCAGGAACTTTGTTATTTAGGTTTCATTGAAACAGCCCCTCTTGCCCTTGGAATTTAGAAGTGACTCCGACCACTAAAAACAATCAAGGGATCAGAACAATTCATTTAATTTCTTTCTGTCTTTCAAGTACGGTTCGCTCTTGCACAGCATTTTTTAATCCACAGATCTCCGTGCGCTTTCCAAAAGGGATCAGCATTGTTATCTCAATTTACAGAGAAAAACTGACACACTGAGAAGGGAAGAAACTTTCCTGAGGTCTCCAGATGAGCTTGGAATAACCCAGCTCTCCTGGTTCCTACTCCCCATTGGATCGCACAGCCTCCGCTTTGCAGCACAATACCCTTTCTGCTCTAGTCCTCCAGCTACTCACCAACACCCTTAGTCTCGCGTTTCTCAATGTGTGGGGTGCGTCAGTGCCCCACTATGACAGAATATACCCTTGTGATCACACCCTACATGCTATCGTAACCATTTTGTACATGGCATGTGTCAAAGTTAGAATCAGGACTCACAATTTTGTCAAGACCACTCTGTTTATTAGCACAGTTTATTGGCTAGTAAGCAGTACCTGATGAGGACCCTTCCACCGGGGTTCCAAGGCGTGTTTTCAATGATGGTGCCGTACGTAGACCCAGTCACCTGGCTCGAGGTCGTGGCAAGCGTCAGAGGTGGGTTCTGTTGGCCAGGCGGCTCGAACCTGTGAATGGAAGTGACTTACAGCTTGCATTAATCCCTTGCAATATTGAAGGAGCGTACTGTGAGTCAAGTTCAAGTCTGGGACTGGAGTAATGGTAGCCAAAGCTCGCATGGGCCGTCCCATAACAATTTCAAAGGGACTCAATTTATGCCTTTGGGATGGAGTGGATCGCATTTCCATAAGGGCCAGTGGTAGAGCCGCTGGCCAGCTTAACCCTGTAGAGTCACAAAGTTTAGCAAGCTTATTCTTATGTACACCATTTCGTCTTTCCACAGCACCTGCACTTTGTGGGTGGTAGGGACAGTGCAGCAGGTGTGTGATATGTAATATACGATCCAGGTGTTGAACAATTTGTCCGGTAAAATGTGTACCCCGGTCACTGGACAGAGTGGCAGGAATTCCCTTGGCAGGCATAATATGATTTAACAAACACTTAGCAACAGACAGTGAATCAGCCTTGCGACAAAGAAAGGCTTCAATCCAACCAGAAAATAAACATACCGTAACCAAAATAAATTCATATTGTTGACACTTAGGCATTTGTACAAAATCAAGTTGCCAATGCAAGAATGGTGTTTGGGGCAGGCCCCGGAACCCCTGAGCCAATTTTACAGGTTTACCAATATTATGGCTTTGGCAAGTGGTACAGGCAGCACAGTGGCGGGCTGCAAAGGAGCTGAAATGCGGGGCCCACCATCCTGCCTTAGTTACAGCAGAGACCATCCCCTCCTTTCCGACATGCGAAACACCGTGTAGCAGGTCGGCCAGCGACGGGTAGAGTGAAAAGGGGGCCACAAAGGCACCAGTAGGCGAACACCAAAGGGAATCAGGATATAGAGAGCAACCCTGGGCAATCCAGGAGTCCTTTTCGACTTCTGGGGCAGAGTCTTGGAGCAGGGTGAGGTTAGTGAGGGACGGCGGTGGTATAGAAACAGAAAGGGAACCTAGAAATGCATCTGGAGATGGTTCTATGGTAACAGCATGTTTAGCAGAGGTGTTAGCAAATGCGTTACCCTTAGCAACATCAGTATCTGCCATCGAGTGGCCAGGGCACTTAACAATAGCTAGGGCAGATGGAAGTAACACTGGATACAGGAGAGCAGCGATGTAGGGGCCATTCTTAATAGGGGTACCGGCAGAAGTAAGGAAACCCCGAGCTTGCCAGAGGGTGCCAAAGTCATGTACAACCCCAAAAGCATAGCGGGAGTCAGTGTAAATAGTGGCGGAGCGTCCCTCCGCCAAAAAGCAGGCACGGGTGAGGGCAACCAATTCGGCAACTTGTGCTGAGGTTACAGAAGGTAAAGGCGCAGCTTCTAGGGTCTCAGCGAGTGACACTACAGCGTACCCTGCAAGGAGACGACCTTGTTTGTCTCGAAAACAGGAACCATCAGTAAACAAAACAAGGTCAGAGTTAGGGAGAGGGGCATCAGAGAGATCAGAGCGCGGGACGGTGACAGCAGAGACAGTTGCAAGGCAGTGGTGGGGATCACCGTCATCAGACAAAGGAAGGAGAGTGGCAGGGTTTAACTGAGAACAACGCTTCACGGTAATATACGAAGCTGACAGCAGTAAAAGTTCATACCTGGTAAGGCAGGCGGAGGAGAGGTGGCCTGTGTTACGTTGTAACAGCAGAGTTTCCACAGAGTGAGGGACCATGAGGGTAAGGGGAGAGCGAAGGACAAGGGATTCGGACATTTCGACTAGGCGCGCTGCGGCAGCCACAGCACACAGGCAGGGGGGTAAGCCTTGGGCCACAGGGTCCAAAGTGGCAGAGAAATAAGCCACTGGGCGGTTCTTGCCTCCGTGCACCTGAGTGAGAACTCCAAGTGCACACCCAGATTGTTCATGGCAGAAAAGGGTAAAGGGCTTAGAGTAGTCAGGCAGCCCTAAAGCGGGGGCAGAAGCCAAACCCTGTTTGAGGGAAACAAAGGCAGAGTCTGCTTCAGGGGGCCATGGCATGGGGTCAGGCACAGAGAGTCGAGTGAGTTCCTGGAGAGGTTTTGCAAGGGAGGCATACTGGGGAATCCATTGCCTGCAAAATCCAGCCATGCCCCAAAACTTTCGGACCCGGCGTGGGGAGCGGGGTCGGGGAAAGCTAAGGATAGCCTGGACGCAGGCAGGAGAAAGTATACGGGAACCCTGGGAGAGGAGAAAACCAAGGTATGTGACAGAGGCTTGACAGAGCTGTAGTTTAGAGCGAGAAGCCTTGTGACCTTTTTTTGATAGGGCAGTAAGGAGCACTAAAGAATCAGTTTTTGAGGCAGATAACGAGGGGGAACAGAGGAGTAGATCATCTCCATATTGGACTAGAGTGGACCCGGATGGGAAAACAAGGTCAGCAAGGTCTCGGGCTAGTGCCTGGGAAAAGTAAGATGGGCTTTCAGTATACCCCTGGGGAAGTGTAGTCCATGTATATTGCTGTCCCTTGTAAGAAAAGGCAAAGAGGTACTGGGAGTCAGGGTGAACCGGAACAGAAAAGAAAGCAGAACACAAATCAACAACAGTAAAATGAGTTGCCTCTGGTGGGATAGAAGCCAGAATCATTGCTGGGTTAGGGACAACAGGAAAGGTGGGTATGACAATACGATTAATGGCTCGAAGGTCCTGAACAAATCGCCATGATTTGCCATCAGCTTTTCGAACTGGGGGGATAGGGGTGTTACGGGGACTGGAGCAGGGAACAATAATGCCTTGCTCCCGCAGGGCGGTCATGACCGGAGCAATGCCAGCCTCGGCTTCGGGGTTTAAAGGGTATTGAGACAGGCGAGGCAGAGGTTTGGAGGAGTCAACAGTAATGCAGACGGGGTCAGTATTTAGCTGGCCCACCTCAGAGGGATGGGTTGGCCACAGGGAGGATGGGACCTGCGAAATTAGGTGTTCAAGGGACGGGACCAGTGGGCAACAAGGGACTGGGGTGGAAAGGGGGGTCTCAGACAGCAGGGAGGCCACAGAATCACTCAGAGAGGACTGGGGAATTTGCAAATAGACACCATCCGGGGAACAGTATATGGTGCAGCCAAGTTTACATAACAGATCCCGACCCAAACGGTTTACCAGAGTGGAATCAGAGAGAAGGAAGGCATGATCTGCGGATAGGGGACCAACTTGGACCGGTAGAGGTTTTGAAAGGGGATAAGGGGTTGGGATTCCCGAAATGCCCACAGCAGATACAGTCTTTCCGGAGCAGGGAACTGCAGGCAGGTCGGTAGTACGAACTGCAGAGAGCGAAGCTCCCGTATCAACAAGGCAAGGGAGAGACAAATCATTGATAGTTAACACACACTCACCCGTGGGAGTGAGAGGTAGTAAAGGAGCTAAAATTTCCCGAGGTTCCCCGGCGTCCCATCATTGCTGTGGGACAAAGTAAGGCTGGGGACTGACTGGCTGTGCCGGCAGGGGGCCTAGCTGGTTATTTACAGGGTTATCAGGTCGGCTCGGACATTCGTTCTTCCAATGTCCGGGCTGCCTACAGTAATTACAAACATCCCCATAACCCGAAAATCCAGTTCCTCAGCCCCTCCCTCGACCACGTCCCCGTCCCTGG